TGGGTTTTTGGGCTTCAGATGGTTTTGCTGTAGAAAGCGCGACGCTCCAACACCAAAAAGCAATGGACGTCCTGGGATCTCAGGGTTGGGTTTCTTGTGGCAGGTTTCTTGTGGACTGGCCTCCACTGCGCTGTTCTTTTCAACTTTACGGCGCGTCATCCGGTCGAGGTCGAGGTTCGCGCAATAACAGGCACTCGGTGGGGGTGGTAAGGTTGCATGCGATCGTCGTACGGCATGAAAGGCAGGTCTCGCCGTTGATGTCGAGCGTCGCGGAAGGAATGGGCCAAGAGCAAGTTGAATCTCCAGGGTGGTTGTCGTGCGAGGGGGGGGGGCCAGAAGGTTGGGGGGAAGATCGGGAGGGAGCGAGTGCGGGATAACGTGCGGGAGGGAGTGAGCGAGTGGGGAAGGTGTGCGGCAGTTAGTGGTGGAGCGAAGAATGAGGGAGAATGTGCGGAGAAGGAAGTAGACTCAACATGGGCGAATGTAGTGAACGCAGCCTCCCATCGATTGCGCAGTTCTGCCGTTTGCGCTCGAAGCTTTGACATACGTACGTTACGTAGTACATATTGTGCGGCTCTTCCACTCATTTGAAGGCTGTGCCTTTCATTTTATCGGCTCATGCTTTCCTCACGCTGGGGGATCACGAGAGGGTGTCGGAGGAAGAGAAGATGGAGCTGCATTTCAGGCGATCGCAAACGTGGATCAAGGGGCGTGGATTAGCGACGGGTCCCGTTTCCATTGAAAATCACGAATTTCCGCCGCCGAACGAGGCGGAACCGGCAGCATTTTTGGGAGGGCATCTCCCCCGATCCATGGGCTGTAGTGCCCGCGCGCCAAATCCATGGATTGCTAATCCAGGTTTGCGCGCTCCCGAGCATTGCAAGATGGAATACATCCACTAGCCAACACAAGTGGTCCGAGGACTTTGTTGATTGTGCAGTGCACACTCTACGTAAAGCAAGACTGCGGTGTTGCAGGGCACCGCAAGGCAAGTCGTCGCACGGGAAGTCGTATTTAGTAGGTGTGCCGTTGGCAATTGTTGCGCCGTTCGCATCACTTGGACTCGTGCGGCGTGCCGTTGGTAATGTGAGTTGATTTATTCATCTCCATTGGATCAAACAAATCATTTCATGGGCGACGTCGACAACCTCAGGTTACATCCGTGCTGGCGGGCTGGAGCCCTCTCCGCCAGCTCTCAGAGATGTCCGAGCTATCTCTGGGCCGATGTGGCTTCGTCCCAGCTGCGTCGTGGCCAGGCCCCCCCATTCTCGGCCAGAAGGGAGGGAAGATGAGCGCAGCGAGGAGTGCGACTTAAGTTGGTTCGCGCGCCAAAACGATCAACAACAAGAACCACTGCTTTCGGATCGGAGCGAGGAGGTCTCCGCCCACGCGCGTCGGCTTCTATGCGTTCGCCGGCATGTTGTTGTCCATGGAAGTTGTCGGAGCATTAGCATTAGCGCGCGCTGGTGAGGCATCGAGGAGTGTGGCGGGAGAGAGGGGGGGCGGGGAAGGAGGAGGAAAACCGGAGCAGGTAGAGGCCAGGAGGTCCCTCATCGCCGTCTTCCCTTCGCTGCGTGTCCTGTTCTGACGTCAGGTTATGTGATGGCATTCGGCCGCGATGGTGTACATCCATCTTTCACGCACAAGCTCAATTGCATTGAACTCGATGGCCAATCGTGTGCCGATCCCCAGCTACGAACTGGCATCCTGCAGGCTTCCTGGCGGCACGGCAAGATTCAGGAGGAAAAAACACACAGACACGATTTTAATCGTCGATTCCACCGAAAATATGGGAAAATGGGGGAAGTGGGGGGAAGACAGAAACCCCGAAAATATGGGGAAATATGGGGACTCCTATCATTTGTGTGTGTTTATTTGTGTGTGTCCCAGGGCCCCTGAAAAAGATTCACATCGGTGGCCTCGCTCCCTCTCCACGCGGGCCTTCCAATCCCTCCTCCCCGCTGTGCTTCTCGCCGCACCCCGATGTGCTCTTGCCGCTGCCGGGCACGAGACCTGGCCTCGGGAGGAGCGGTGCGCGCCCTGCGGGCCTGCGTCCGCCCCCACCCTCCCCCCGTCCGCCGCTCCTCTCCCCTGTGCCCACCCTCCCAATCCTCTTCCCCGTCCCCTCTCACGCCCCACGCCCTCCCCCTTATGTCCCCCCAGCGCCCGCTCCCTCTCCTTCACCTCCCCCCCGGCCGCCTCCTTCTCTCTCTCTCTCCCCTCCCCCCCGCCCTTCTTGTCCGACTGCCCCCCCCCCCCTCCCTCCCCTCCTCCCCGCGTTCTGCAATCACACATTATGAGCGCTAATCACTCTCCTTTCTCCCCCACCCCCTCCGCGTATGGTTCTTTGTGCATGTTCTGCGCGAGCGAACTTTGAGAGAGCGCGCGCGCGCAGCGCCGGAGCAAAGGGGAGGGGGACCCTTGGACCTCCCCTGCCCAACGCAGACCCCCTCCCCTACCTCCCCCCTCCGACAGGCTGTCGCGCTCTGGAAGCTACCCC